TACTATGAATTGGGAAGTACCTTGAGGACAGGGAGTAACCATTCCTGCGCTATAGTTCTTCGCTTATCGCGCGCTTAGTAGGCACTGCGTACTCACTGCGTGTGTAATCAGTACATCGCAAATAGGTAAGCACGCTAACAAGTTTGTGCCTATTTATTTCATTATTTTTTTATATCATAAGGAAAAAAGAATGCTTTGGAAACAACTAAAAAGTGAGTTGTTCTATAATTCATTTCCTTATGTTTGCTTTCACAGTAAGTGTTAATGTAATTTTTCCCGTTGCTTCTGTTTCTCTCCCGCGAGTGAGCGACCGGCCGGAGAAGACGGCTGTAATTCAGGTTATTGTTTTGGTGCAAGCGAGTCATTTGTGAGTAAAATATCTGTTTTTTCAAATATGATGTTCTGTTGGTTTATGTCTTGAAGCGGTTCCGTCCAGGTATACAACAGGTTTACAAGGGATTTCTGAGGGTATTTTGCCCGCGTTTTCTTCTTGAAAACCCACAAAGTGAAAATCTTACTGATCATCCCTGATCATTTTTTTTTTGTCCCGCTTCAAAAAAACCTATTGCTTTCAATTATTCTACTTTCTGAAGTTCACTGATTATTTGGTCAAGCTTAACAAATGCAAGAGGCTCTTAAGAATTTAATATACATATTGGAAAATTAAGAATTATGCTTGTTACATGCTTTTGGATCTATTGATTAAAATGGGATACTATAGCCTTGTAGTCCACCAGATTTGACCAGAGGTCAGAGATCAACAAGGTTATGGTTTGTTATAAATTATCCTCTTGTATGGGATTTGATGTTACGTCCGAATAATACTAAATTATTGTTTTTAACTCTGGGGTTGCCGTTAAACCAAAGGCATTGTAACTTTGAGGAGCACTTTTCTCCAAGTCTTCTCTGTGGGGACCCTCAAACAATTCTATTAGACAAGGTTTGACCCAAAATAATAATGATTACTGCACTTGGCATGGACACAACATAAGTTTTCCAAAGTTCTTTTTCATAGCCGGGTCTTCATGTTTCTATTGAACAGCACTTTCAAGAAAACAAAGCTTACACATCAGAGTAAAGGTACAATAAAAGTTATTCATTGTTACATTTTGTTTTTTGTAAATAAACATTTTAGTTTAGGTCCTGTCAGTTAATTCTTTCCATATTACTGTTTTTGATTCTGACCTGCATGACTCGCTGCCATGGCTCGCTGGTTCGCATATTATACACACTCTTTTATCACAAAATCTTGTTTTTTTAACACCTTCTTGGACATGAAAACCAAAAACCAACACTTAATTGATATAATGAAGATAGTAGCAGCTGACATCGATTTTCAATAGTTATCTTGTGAGATGTCTCTCATGTATTATTTATTAGGGAGGATGATTTGTAGAAGACGATGCATTAACATAGATGCTTTTTCATCAAGAGAATCTCTAATAATTTAGGATTTATTCAAATACACACATATTCGATATTATGACATCAAATGAGGGCTTATTGCTCATGCACAGGGATTGATGGGGGAGAGTGTGCCATTTTTCATGTTTCAGATTGACCTTTTGCACAGCACAGGGACTGAACATATTATGTATTTGGCATCTGTAAAGTATAAACAATATTTGACGTGAGGGATTGAACATTATGTAGAGAAAATCTTCACAAGCCTCCACGTCCATGACTCCTTCCTCATCTATCTCCTTTAAAGCCCCTTGAATAAGGGCCACAGTCTCTTCTATGATTGAATGATCATTGAGTGTGAGCTTCCACTCACAAGGTATATAAGCCCCCCCTTCCAACCTGTTTCCCTCTTACCCATTTTGAAAGGGTCAAAGGAGGGGCTTTTGTGGTGGGTAAGCCTGTGACCACACTACAAAGAAACAAAAAAAACATATTTAATTTTATTGAGGTAGGGTTGAATTTGGACATTAAATTTTTCATTACAGTGGAACATAAGGCGAACCTAAAGCAATATTTTGCCCTCTGAGCACAAATATGTCGTTCTGAAGATATTTAGCATTTTGTCTTCCTGGTTCCTTTTCCCAGCCTTTTGGCACAAACGCGACAACATGTTTGTAATATCTCCAGATGTTTGTCTACATTTTTGACGGAAATCCTGATCAAAATAAAAGAAATCAATATAAGAACCTACTCACACTGATTTAAAACTCATTCCACACACATGATCTGGATCAATAAAGTGATTTCTAGATGAGAGTCGCATACATTGCCGCTGAACACGACTAAAAACAGATCTGATCGATTGTAACTAAAACTACATAGACAGACTAAGGCATAACCATCAATATCAGTAACCCTTCCTGTCCGTTGGCAATTTTCAATGTGTGGTTGCCATTTTTACTAGGTTGTTGCCATCGATGAAACTTTGCCTGAACACACTTTAAACGTTGTAGTTTTGAGGAAAATTAGTCTTGACTTCGTAAAAATTCGGCAAGATACTGAAAACTAAACATAAAGTCATGTACTTACATTCGATACCCGTCAAGATGGCGGCGGCGGCGTCGAAGGCCATTTGAAAACTGTCGCTTTTAACTACCGAAATGTGGCAGGAAACTTCCCTTGACATTCAAAAAGCAAGGAGAAGGCTTCTTCACCGGGACTGCTAGCTGGGAAGTCCTGGATATTGAACGAGGAGACCTGGAACAGGCTTTGAAAAAAGCTCCCTTGTTTCTTGCGATTATTTTTTCCTATTTTTGCGTGTTTTTAGCAGAACAATGGAATCATGACGTCATCGCTTCTTCCAAAACTGGCATACTCCCGAACTGGTTAAGCTGTCCAGTGACGACACTACTACCCGACAATCGGGTAGTGATTTTGATTGGTTGATTGTCTAAATATTCGCATAATTATGTATAATTATGAGAAATTTTAGCGGGATTGTCGCTTGATATTCAGCGGATCGCATCGGTGGCATGCTTGCGTGGTCTTGCTGGTCTTGTCTTCGAAACTAAGTTGCTGAATTGAACTGCGAATGAAGAATCGTTGCCGAGAGTCGGTGGGTTTTTCATTTAGGGCCGCTTTGTGGTTTCCGCAGTGATTTTGTTTATGCGAAGTTTCTGAGACCAATGTCTGGTTGTCATTCAACTTTCTTGCTATTTTCACCGTCAAGTGTAATATTCTGTTAGCTTTTCTTTCTTGTTTCCATGTTTTCTTTTTTATTCGTTATCGGTTAAGGACCAAATAGCTCCTTTTAAATTAAAGGAAATTGTTGTGGTTTTGAACTAAGTGTTCCGTGTGTGTGTTTATTTCATTGCGTGATTGCGACGGAGTTTGAATTACAACCGGCTCAGAGTACTGACGCAGTTGATAGTTTGAACGTTAAACATGAATTACGATCGAAAAGAGAAAAGCAATTCTGTCAGCTTTTCCATATGTTGTAGACATTTCCAAACGATATTTTTGGGTTTGCCAAAAAGTATTTTCCTTTTTGCATGAATTAAAGCAAAGGAGTAGTGACGTCACTGGACGGCATTTCAGAGGTTACTGAGGGAGTAATAACGACTCGAAGTAATCGGATGAAATTCAGGCTATGTAGTCCTGAAAATCGCTTGATTTCAGTGACCTACCCAGTAGCGCAGAAATACAGCCATAATTTAAAGTTAGCTATACAGGATTTACCCGGCTGAAGGAGTTGGGGGTTCTTAGAATAGACTGAATGAGATATATAATTTGATTCGGTTCGATGACTACAAATTATTTATTTAAATCAAATGCAAGATTGCTTCAAGTAGTTGCTCAGCGCACTGGTTGATTAATCGAGGTTAACGTCTGTTGCCGCGTGCACTGGTTGAGGTAGAACGGCTTAAATAAAGTGACACTTCTTTCAGATTCCTTACCGAAAGAAAAAGGAAAATAAAAGCAATAATTCATTGACGACGTGGCAACAATTGCGGGCTCTCATAAGAGGCACTCATCTTAAATTTGTCGGACCACATTCATTTTATGTGCAGATATTAAATATTGTATTCATTTATATTCTTCAAGAGCAAGGACCGTTTCGGTGTAGCTGCTCTTAGAAATAAACCCCTGGACGCATCTGCAATAAGAGGCAATTGCTTGCAATTAGAATTGACTGAAAGATAAGACCTATAATTTTCAGAATTCACGCAGACACGTTCCGTAGACAAACTCTGTCAAATGTAAGCATTGTTTTGCTTTTGAGGTCACGGATGAAAGGAAGGTACAAGCGCGCACCAGAAATTTCGTGAAAATATTCTAACATAAAAGTGTGTCTAACTGGGGAGTCTTCTTAATTTATCGTTAAGTAAAACATTCTAAATCCTGAAAGGGCGGTGTGTAGCTTAAATCTATCTGCCAACTCCGACAGTAAAACAGAGGTTGAGCCATAATAACGAAGTCGTTTACGGCAATCGCAAAGGGGTGATTTTGTCGTTTTTAAATTGTTGATAATGTGGAAGAACTATTCTGGAACAGAAATACCTAACGAGAGCTGATTTTTCCAGAGAGCAGACCTGAATCTAATGTGAAATCTACAAACATGATTAAGAATTTCTTTTTTTGGTGAGTCTGGTACTCCTACGATCTCAAAATTTTACGGAAGCTCCGTTGTACAGAATTTATCCTGTTTCTCTTGCCCAGTTCCGTACAAAGCGTACTTATCGTCGGCGAATAAACTTTTCAAAACCTCCTATAACACTGTAGTATGTGAAACTAAAGAATCATATGATTCGACGCTTGAAATTGCTGCATAAAGACAATAAATAATTCTGGAAGCTTCTTTCCGTTGTTAAGTTGATCTCCAATAAATGTTTTGACTCTCACAGTAATAGACAAGGCCAGCGAGCGTTGATTTAGCATAATAAGACTAAGAAGAGTAAGTGGCGATAAAGTAACGTTACACTGCCTCATCTTAACAAAAGTACAATACCTTAACCAGACTTCAAAGGTGGCTGATGAATTAAGCTAACGGCTGAAGTATTAGACGGCTTTGGAGAAGAAAGCGTCCTTTCGTCAAGTCTAAAATTAGCCCTTTGTCGCCGTTGGTTACTTCCTTGTCTTATGACGCAAGGAGGATTCGGTTTTTAGCCCCCAGATCCCAGATCTCTCTTTGTCATGCATGATATATACTGTCACGAAAGAGAGATCGAGTATTCTTCTTGCTATGAAGCATTTGTGATTTGGAGTAGTTGTTAAAGCAAGCGTGGTTATCATGTCAAATTTTTCTCTACTAATCAGCTGCTTGTAACACGACATGCTAGTGTAAAAGCTGAATGTTTTCCTACATTTTTTTATCGATAAAAATGTCTACTTTATTTTCACTTCACTTTTAGTATTAAGTTATTCAAATCATTTCATGGGGTCGTTTATTTATTTATTTTTTCCCGCTTAATATCGTCTATATTTTGTAAGCCCCAGAGAAAGTTTCAGTTGAGCAGCGTTCTAACATTGTTCCTAAAATAACTTACAAACTGTAAGAAAAATTGTCAACCTCGTCCCCAGGGTCTTCTCGTTTTCCAATATGGCGGCGGCAGGAGAGAAGACCCTGGCACACAGCGAACTAAAACGATCGCTGATTGGTGCATTCCATGGTGCGTTCATACGTGCGCTCTCATTGGTTTATTCCTTCCAAAACAAAGATGGTTAACATTTGGGTGAGAAGTGCTTTCTTCAGTGTTTGAGACCTAGAAGTTGGACAGAATTCAGGTCTGATTGTTCGGAAAACTGTGACTGTACCGTTGGAAGGCAAAGATTCGAAGATAGTGATATCTGAAATGGTAATCGCTGGGAATATTATAAGGCGTAGAGGTATTTCTGTTGCTCGTTCTATTTGGTTTGTGTGTTCTAAATTACTAAAGATTTGTTTCTTTAATTCCCGATTTGTCAAAGAATACTTGCAAGGCTTCAGCTTATCAATAAATTTAGCTGTCCGTTTGCAAACTGCCTTTTGTTTTCTTTGAACAATAGCTGTATGCATAATATTATTAATGTATGGGGTTATACGGAAATCGTGCATAATCTGTGGTTTGTCTTAGCAGTTTTTTGTCCCGTGAAGCATTTTTTTTTTTCATTTGATCGTAACATGCATGGGCCTAACCTGGCCTTCTTTTAATTGTTTTCACTGTGATTTTGAAGGGGCATGAGGAGCGAGAGAGGCAGATGTCGAAACAAAACTAGAAATTGAAGCCAAACATATTGTCGCTATCCTTCGATATTTTTAATCCTGACTTTTCATTTATTCAGTTTTTAGTGTCACAATAATGATAATTTATTATTATTTGCTCATTTCATAGGCAGTAAAATACAGCTAAATACAGAGACATTGGGAAAATAAACTGTTTCCTTTTCTCAGAAATGAAAAACTTGCATATTTCTAGTTAGTCTTTCTAGTTGCAAAAAAAAAATAATGAAAGCACATGATGTCTTTTATTTTATCAAGTTGAAAATAATGATCAGCCCATGCAAGGAAATCGGACAGTCTTGGATTCTCAATTCTGCTCCATGGATACTGCATTCTGGATTCTTTGTCAGTGGAACTTGGATTCTGGATTCCAATTATAAGTGGGATCGAGAGTACTTGACCTTTATTTCAGATTCCAAGAGAAAAATTTCCCAGATTCCAGATTCCCTTAGATGGGGTGACAGTAATCCTAAGATAAATACGTTTTCTGTCAAACCAAAACCTGTTAATTGAGCTTCTAATTACTATAGGCTAAGTGTGCATGTTGTTCTTGTCACTGCATGTTGTTCTTGTCACCATATGCTTGAAAAGGGGGTTTGTGGACCTGAAACTAGTGGCTGGCATTGTAGTATTCCAAAACCAGCTGGGTATGATTATGAAGCAGCTATAATTCAGTTCTAAAATTTGGATTTAAAAAAATAGACTGCTAAAAAGGGTGCATATATCACTATCCACTGAATAAACAAGAGCGGAAGGGGCCTGCAGCATCTTGATCCCGGGATTTTTCATGTAGGGATGCCAAGGCTTTTGAAGTGTTTGCACCAGAGTCCCCATTACCATAGTGAGCTTTTAGTTGCCTAGTCATGGCCAATGATTTTCGGGTCACGTGGCCCCAAGCAATATAGTGAAACAGTTTCCCTCCAGTTTGCCTAAGATAAGTCACAGAAATGAATTGACCAAGAAGACCTGGGAAAATGCCACACAGGCACAAGGCAAGGCTTTCAGCTTGTATAGGTGTTGGGCTGTGAGGATGCAGCTGTTAGATGTGCTGGCTCAAATACTTCCAAAGTCTACTTTAAGGTGTTGGTTAGTCTTAGTCATAGTGTCTGTATCATAATCATATCATCGGAAATAATCAGATTAACCCAACTATTAAACTGATAATCAATTATAGTAGATTATAGTTTTGTGACCCCTGTGTAGCACTTTCAACACTGAAAATACTTTTGTAAGTGAATAAAACAAAAACCTACCCTGCAAGCAGAAGCTTATCTGTCACATAGTTAAACCAACTAAACATCATATAAACTACACTAAGAGTCCATCAAAAAGACAACACAGGTGTATTAATGTCCTTATTTGTTAACAATTTTTTTGTGTATTTTCCACAACAATCAATTGAATGTTTGTATATTAAGCAGTACTCACTTTGCTTTAGGTTTCAGATCAATGATAGATTATGATAGATAATCAGCACACCACTACCACGTTATGTCTCAATTAGACTACGAAAGGGCCCATCTGACACGCAAAGCGTGTTTGACTTAAAAGATTATTATCTCCAAATGAGATAGGAACTTTTACAGTGCACTTCAGTCAGATATTACTATCAAATTTTTGAACAACTGGAGTCTAGCCTTTAGTCAATTTGTAAATTGTCATGGCAAAGTGCAGCCCCAAGTAATACGTAAAATAAACCAAAGTCAGGGATTAAGAAAGTTTTTGCTCTAAAAATAAAAATCTATTTCAAAGTGAAGAATACATTTTGGATTGCTAAATTACAACCTATGGAAACACTCTTCACTTTGTGGTAGCTATTAAAGCGGGGTTAATGCTTTTTTTTACATCTGAGAGGCAAAAAAACAACAATAACAACATATTAGTATCATCCAGGGTAAAAAATCATAATTTTTCGAAATTTGCCATTTTTAAATGATTAAACAGAGCTAATCAAGAACTTTCTTTTAAAAAAATCCCAGGAAAAAATGTTTTTTCTGTGCAGACTTATGGAGCGCAAAAGTTTTTTCTATGCTAACTACTTTTAATTGATCTTTGACAAGTCCTGTCATACTTGATACGCATGACGCTGTTGAATCAAGCTAATCACGCAATTTGACAGAACTCGTGGTCTACAAGTATAGTACTCACTGTTTTTCCCTGGATTTTAGAAGTGAATGCCTCCAAAGAAGAAAAAAAAGCTTGTCCGTTTTCGTCCTTGACTCCAAGACGAAAGAAGACGACAAAATCGTTTTGCAAATAGTGGGCTTCGAAATTAGCAGAGAGCGACAAGGGCTACTACTACAATCAAGAAAAATGGCTAAAAGATGACAAAGCTCCTGAAAAACCATTAAAACCGCCGCGGAATCGAGTTTAACGAGCTTCTTAGCGAGCGGGACAAGCTTTTTTGGCCGCGAAGCAGTCAGAGGAGCGACGAAGTCGCGAGAGGTCCCGCGCCATATAAAAATCGGACGAAGGACTGTTTTGAAAGTCTATTGTAGCGGGAGAGAAGCTTTCAGAAAAACTCCAGGAAGCGGTTTGTTGTCAATTTTTTCAGGAAGCTATCGAACTTTTAGAAAATGTATCGAGTAAAAGTTGACTTAGCTCAACTTGGCTTGTCCGGTGCGGAAATGAAAACTGCCCGTCGCAAATAAGTAATGATGCTCTCTAGACAACAGAAAGGATCGAACAGAGCAGAGCCTTTGAAATAAATTGTTCATCTGTAGCCGGGTTTCCTTTTTAACCTTTTCCTGCTGTGTCACTATTGTTGTCCCTTCTCTGGTATACATCAACATTGACAGCTTTGGTGTTATAATCTGTTATAATCTCGTCACGGGTAATACGCCGCCAAAACTCGTTTTTCACTGTTTTCTCGAAATGAAAATCAGGGCAAGTTGAGGGTACGTTTTAAACTCCAAGTCGGCAACCCGTGACCCAATTTGGCTGAAATTTGGCCAACTTACTATCGGATAGTTTTTCTAAAAAACTGTGTCTGCGAATTTTGATTTCTTTTTTCGTTTTCGAGTTAGAGTAGTTTTTTCACAGGTAGTGCTAATGATTTGCTATCCCTCACTTCAACTGCTTATAACAAAAGAACAAACGCACTTGACAAAAATCTGAGACACGGTTTTTTAGTCAAACGTGTTAAGAAGCGAATGCAATCTTAATTGGCTTTTTCCGTTTATTTTTGGCTGGCCTGGACTTAAATTTACAGTGACACCCACTTTTACAAAAAGCTTCTCATTTCTAAATCGCGTTAATATTTTGATTTTCTAAAAGGAATAAGCAATAATCTGGAACTATTAAGCTTTCAGAAAATGTACGGTTTATGGGGGTATTTATTAAAAGCAAAAGCGCTAGCGCCGATCAACGCCAGGAGGGTGCTTGAGGGTGGATGATACCTTAAGGCCCCACTCTCTCAAATAAGCCCTCCTTTTCAGTGGAAGAAAGTTTTAACAATAAGCCCCCCTCTCTTTTAACCCCCATCCCACCTCCCCTCCTTTTCTTATTCTTCACTAATAAATAAAAGACTGTATCAATCAATGACAACTGTAAAACTTTGTGAGGACCGATCCAGGATGGTTTATTCAGCAACTGGAAGTTCGGATTTGTTTTTGATCATCGGCTGCTTGACCTTCAACCTTCTTGTACTTGGGCTTTTTCAGTTGGCATTTTTTTTGTGTGGGGAACTAATATCAGCGTCTTTGCTAGATAAAATAAGGCCCCTATCTCTATTGCCCGGAAGCGTTGTGAACAGGGTTAGATATCAAAAGCCAATAAGAAAGTCTAAAAACTGTGAGGTAGATGAAGATTGACAATAATTTTATTACCTGCACCAGA